GTAGACTCACTGATCTTGAGCTGGGTCATTGAGTCTCAGGCTGAGCAGTATCCAGCCTCTTTGTGGCAGAGAGACTGCTTTGCTTCTGTTTTTTCAACAACAGCAACTGAGGCCATGCATTTAGCCAACCAGATCAGCACTCTAGTCGCTGCTAAGTGCACCAGCAAGCTGCAGACTACAGACAGTGACTTCAGCAAACAATTCAAGTCACTTGTCAAAGGAAAGCTTCAGCAACTCAGGCATGACTTTCAGCAGAAGTATCAGCAAGATGCTGCCTGGAAGGTTGGCAGTTTCGAGATACTTGAGTCTGTGGTCTTTGCCCAGGAGGAGATGAGCAAGAAGAACCTTGAGGATGAATGGGCTCTTAAGGCAGCCATCAGAAATGGCATCTTGGGCTACATCCCTTCAGGAGGCAAGCTTCAGAAGGTCACTGAGTGCAGCTGGGCTCAAGCAGAAGGCTTTCAGATGGGAACAAAGAGAATCCCATCAGATTGGTTCAAGGACAGATTCAGTTGGCTCAGTCCTGATGGCAAGCCCATTGAGCCAGACTGGTCTCTTTCAGACAGCGCCTCAGAGATTGCAGACCTTCAGAGATGGGACTACTACAGCAAAGAAGATGAGCAAAATGATTCAGCAGATGAGGGCCAACACCTTGAGCTGGTTGAGATTGAAGGTGAACTTGAAGAGCAGCTTGAGCTCAGTCTTGAGAACTCGCTGAACCTGAGGCTTCACCCATCCTTGAGGAGAGCTCTTCACAAGAGACTTGCAGACCCTTCTTTTGAGGAGCAGTTGAAGAAGAAGAAGGAGAAAAAGGTTCAGAGAAGGCACAGGCTGAAGTTGAGGCAACTTGCCAGAGATGAGCTCAGGAAGGTCACACAGCAGAAGCTTCAGAACCATAGCAGGAGAGAGGTTTTGGAGACCTTGAGGAAAGAAGTCAAAGGTCAAGCTAAGGCCAAGGCCAAGGCCAAGGCTAAGCTGAAGCTTTCAGCAATGGTCAAGACGTCCAAGACCCACAAGCCTTCAGCAAAGTCAAAGCCTTCAGTGCTTGCCAAGAAGAAGAAGAAGAAGAGTTCATCCAAGAGCAGCAAGATTGCTGAGAAGATCACTGATGTGAAGAAGGCTGAGAAGGTTGAGAAGGCCAAGAAGCCAGCACTTGAGGAGCCACTTCCACTTGAGGAGCAGGTTGAGGAGCAGGATGAGGAGCAGGTGGACTCAGCTCGTGGCTTCCTTAAGAAGGAGGTGATAGTCACTTCAGAGGCAGCAGGCAAGTTAGCCTTTGGGCAAGATGGCACAGCTCATTTCTGGAGCCCTTCTTCAGGCAGGTACAACATTTTGACCATTTCAGGCATTTTGATGGTTTTACCTGAAGAGGTGGAGCTTAAGGTGCCTCAGAAGGTCAAGACCTTTCAGTGGCCTGCCTTCAGGCAGCTCAGTAGGGAGGAGATGAGGCTCATGCTTCAGCAGCTGTATTGCCTTCCTGAGGTGAGGTTGACCTCTTAGCTGGGGTGCACAAGGACACAGTTCTGCTTGAGGATCGGCACATTCAGATGGGCTGGTCCCTGTTGAGCTGGGCACTTCAGAAGTCAGGTGCAGCCATACCTTCAGACCAGTTTGGAATTGTGGATTCAGCTTTGACCCGCAACATTGCACTTCAGGTGCATGTTGAGCACAAGCAGAAGCAGTTTTTGATTCAGAAGCTGAAGAACCACCTTGAGCGCCATTCAGTTCTTTGTGTGCCAATCTTCAGTGAGAATCCAAGCCATTGGACTCTGCTGGTTGTGGACCAAAGATTCAGCCCAGCCCAGTTGAGGTGGTATGACAGCCTTCAGCATCAGTCCCAGGATGCAATTCAGGCTGCAACCCTTGTGGCAGAGTGGCTTCAGCTGGCTGGGTTTGAGCCCTTGAGAGTGAATTCAGCCTTCCAGGGCAATTCAGACTGTGGCTGGTGGGTCCTGAATTACATTGAGGTGGAGGCCAGGAAGTTGAGAGGTGAGACCATCACCTTGTGGTACTGGAAGAGTCGCCTTATCCAAGTTTCAGCAAGCCTTGCAAAGGAGCTTAGCAAGGTTCAGACCCAGCTGGGGAATGACATTAAGAAGAGGCAGGATAAGGAGAAGAAGGCTCAGGCTGCTAAGGCAGCTGCTGAGGAGAAGCTGAGCAGCATGAAGAACAAGGAGTCAGCAGCTGCAGCCAAAGCCAAGGAGCTCATTGAGACCAATTCCTTAAGGGTCACATGGAAGGATCTCACCCTTGAGGAGAAGCACCAAATCAAGAGCCTTCAGTGGGCCCCTGAGGTATTTTCAAGATGCAGATGGCAGAGCGGCTGCCAGTCATGCAGTGCATTTAAGGCACTCAGGTACCTTGTTCAGAGGAAGGCAAACCTTGAGCACAAGCTTGCTTTTGTTGGAGGACAGGTGCAGTTGACTGTGCTGTTTTTTGAGTTGCAGTGTCATTGAGCATTTGGTAGCACACATTGGCCTCCCTGGGGGACAGCAAGATGTTGAGCAGCTCTTCAAGTCCATGTGAGCTGCCTTTGAGCTGGATTTTTGGCTGGAAAACAGTGTGAGCACCTGATGCCTTCAGGTTCAGGTTCATGCCAGGTTGCCTCATGAGCTGCATTGCAGAAGTTCACCAAGTGACCAGCAGGCCCAAGCAAGTTTAGAACCTTTTCTGCTAGGTAGTGTGCTTTCAGCCATGTCAATGGATGAGATTCAGGAGACCCAGCTTCAGGCAGACATTGGTCGAGCTCCTTCAGAAGAGTCTTCTGGCAAGAGGAGGAAGCTTGAGAACAAGGAAGTTGAGAATCAGGAGCAGGCCATTTTGAGCCATGCTGAGAGCTTTCAGATGACCATTGACGGCTACACTGAGGAGAAGGTTCAGCAGGAGAAGGAGTTGAAGGAAGTTCAGCAAGCCACATTTCAGAAATTGAGTAGGACTCAAGCTACCATTGAGTTCTACAGTGGCTTGCTTAAGGCTTTCAATGCTCTTAAGGAAATTCCTTTTGAGCAAAGAGGCATGCACATTCAGCAGGCTCAGCATGCCCTTTTCCTTGAGACTGTTGAGGAGCTTGAGGGCTGAAGGGGCCTTCAGACCTGCATTTTGGCATTGGCTTGACTCAAAAATGAGCTGCTGCAGGGCTGAGTTCAGGAGCCACACGTGGTTGAGGCCAGTTTTTGATGGAGATTCAGGTGTGATTGTTTGGGCATGTTTGTGAATTTGTTGGCATTTGGTATGGGGTCAACATGGATTTTGGGTGATTGTTTGGGGGGGGATGGTTTTTTTTAATTGAATTTGCTTTGTGGAGGTTTTTTTTTTGGAATTTTCCCCCTGGCCAAAAAAACTTTCTATTATTCTGGTCCCCTTAAACAATGGGTGTGAACCAGAATAAGGAAAAAAACTTTCTATTATTCCGGTACCCTTTACTAATCGTGTGCCAACATTAGGGGGGTGTGCCCCTCCAAAAATTATGATTCCCCACCAAACCCAGGGACACTCTATTTATAAACTGGGGTTTTGATGAATATGGGGTCAACATGACCCAGCCCGGGAGGTCTGAGGGAAGGTGCCGGGGTTTGAAGGGTCATTCATCTTGCGTGACCGGTTTTGGATGACCCTTATAAACCATCCAACTGGTGGATTCCCTCACAGGAACCCAATAGTTGAATGGTTCACTCCATTTTTCATTCCCTGCCTATCGCACCCGCCAAGGCCAAAGCGCTCGTTTTCCCCAGGGCTCATAGCCACAGGCCAGCTTGATTGTGTCCCGGCGCCATGGCAGATAAATCATCCGCGTAGCGGACGCTGACAGCTGACGGTCTCGATGACAATGGCATTCGCCGATGCTCATTGCCATAGCTTCGGCCCCTCTTCGGCACCCCCAGACCTGGGCATGGGCCCACTAGTCCTGCCATGAGCCTCGGTGAATCTGGTCGACCACAATCTGTATGCAGACGTTGAACGGAGATTGGTCTGTCGTCCTGGGAAGGAAACAGCATCTGCCATCCCGGCAGTATTTTTGTTGGTGCTTTCCCTTGGCACGTTGCAAATACAGAAAAACTTTGCCCCTCGACCCCACCCCCCGGCCCAAACAAGAAGCAGGCAACCCCAGCCCTGAGCCGCTCCGGACCACACCGGAGCTTATTTGGGCCTATCGACCCCATAGTTTTCAGCTCGCTTTGCCAACGAACACAACAACATACACTCCCTTCCATGATCTTAGAACTACAAAAAGCTTTTTTGGGGGGTTCCAGGTTAGTAGAAGTTCCATGATTGCTTGCGTTTTTTTCCAGTGGGGTTCCAAGATTATGGACCAGAGAGTACCACAAGGAAATAGGACTCCACAAATGGTCCAGTTGTCCTTTCGGCTTCTAACCAAACCCCGAAAGCCAAGCTGAACAAGCGGGGAAGGCCTGTACCATCTCCGGGGTGAAAGCCACGCCTTGTTCGTTGGACGTTGGTTGCGCACCCCCTTTGACACGAAACACATCACGAGCACCGGGGCTTTTGGCAGGCCGGGAAAAGAGTTGGGCACTTCCACCCCCTTGCTCAAGCACGTTTGGATTTGCATCGGACCAAGGTAAGCAACCTCCTGGTTACCCTTAAACTTGGCACAAAATAAACATCAAACTCCAAACTAGGAAAAACAACTCTCGGACAATTTTTCTCCCCAACTAAAGCGGACTTGGACGGGCCCAGGTTTGCAGGGTTTAACCAAGCACACGGAGTCCAGCCACATGAGTTTCCCTTTATTAACGGGGCCTTGAATATCACACCAAAAGAAACCTCACCTTGCATTCCCAACGAAAAGGTGATGCTCCCACGAACTCAAAAGGGGAAATGGTTACTTGGCTACCCTCTTTGGGGTGGCGAAAATAAAAACAAAAAACCTGTAACCTGTTTGGTTTTAAGAGGAAACCCAAAAGGACCCCCCCAAAAAAAAGAAGCTCCAGAACCCTCAGCCCAAGGGAAACCAGGCAGCGTCTGCGTCTAAGCCCCCGCGCTCGCGTCCACCAGGACGGGGTCTCGGAAGCCCAGCTGCTCCTCACAGCCGAAGCCGAAGCCGAAGCCCGCCGGCGTCGGAATCCTTTTTTGGGGACGGACCACTTGGTTCACGTTGGGTTTGGGGAGCAAAAACATTCTCATATTTTTTAGCAGTTGAGTGGTTGGATTTCAACCACTAAACCACAAGCAAAAATGCAAAATGTTTCCCAACGACAACCATGACCACCACCACGCAAAAGGTCGACCAGAAGTCTAGGGAGATCAAGGATGCGCGAGGTATGGAGGTTCTATGCCGCTTCAAAGGGGAAACAGCTGGTTTTCAAAATGAACGATGGTTGAAAAGAATGGGGAATCAACCCCTGGAAGAATGGGCTCTCAGATGTTCTGCGAGTAGAAAACGTGCAGTGAGCTTGATGGAAACAAGAATGGGCTCTGTTCTGCTAGTGGAAAACGTGCAGTGAGCTGAAAATGGACAGGGTCCAATTGTGCTTGGGTGTGTGGAAACTTGTTGTGCGCCAATAGTCTTCCCAGGCATGAAATCCATAGGGCCCAGCCAAGCCTTCGGGGGGCCCCCTTCATTTGCTTTCTGAAAGGATTGGGCGAACAAATCATTGTGTGTGTTGGTTCGCCACAAGATTAAAATGCCCACAAAGTGTAACGTCCAGAAACTCGGGAAAAGTGTTGGTTCATTGGTATCTTTTGGGAAAAGATAGATGGCACTGGTAGATGATTAGAACAAACCAGAAACCAGGGGAACCCAACTATTTTCAACCAAACCAAGCGATCACAACAACACAAATACGTTATTTGAAAAAAGAAATCACCTCCTTGTTTTACACGTTTATCCATCTTTGATCCCTCCCTTTCCCCAAGCAACGCCAAAGCCCAGCCCACAAACCGCCGGCCAAACCCAACAAAATCCAACTAATGACCCCGGATGGGGGGGAGTGGTTTGTTTTCCAAACGTGAGGACTCCCCTGCTAAAACCAGGGGCATCCCCATATGGGTTTATAATAAAATATATATATATATATGGGTTGACATTGGTTGAAATCAATCCTTCACCTTTTGCACCAAAATGGTCTTTAGCTCTCCCGCGAAACTTCTGACTGGTCGCTACTACGACCGCCTGCAAAGGACACTAACAACTTTTCAAAGAGGGGAACACAACCATGAAGTTTGGTCCTTGTTCCTGTTTGTATGTGTGTTCATGGGCAACGAAAATAGGGTTAGCTCATCTTCTAGACATGTTCTTCTATATATAACCCTCAACCTGGCGCTTACCCGTTTAACTGTGGAACCCGCAGACACCGTCAAATTCAAGAGCCCAGATAAAACTCGGTCTTGTTTGAACCCACCAAGTCTGATCAGTTCTAGCCCGGGGCTGGGACCAAACGCTGACCCATTTCGTTGAGATCCCTCGCAAGTCATGAGGTCCCTGAGGCACGCGTGCCAGGCGCGTCGTTGGGCTGTGTCGCGTTGAAGACACATAGCTGGAGACAGTGTCTCTAGACGTGACCCAACTGGGTGGCGGGCCCCCAACGTACTTGCCAAAGATTGGCTGCCAAGCTGCTTGGACCGTGCTGTCAATTTCTTGCAAGATTGCCTGTCTCTGCCATCTGCCGTCAGGACCAATGGCAAACCACTCCTTCAGTGGCAGTCTGCCCGTTGCACAGCTACCTTTTCTCGGATGCCCAGTGGCCATGGGAAAAAAAGGCCTCCTTTTTTGGTTGACTTCAAAAGGGAACCCCTCCCAAAAAAACCGGAAAAACGGGCACCACTGAGCAACTGGGTTTTCAACTGCACGCGCTTTCAAGAGCGCCGCTCCGAGTGCGGTGTCAGAGCCGCTGTGGGCCTGGTGTGGCAACCCAAAAGCTTCGGCATCAAGGGGAAGCTGCTGAACAGCCCCCTTACCCCCCAAACAACAACCCCAAACACCTCCTGATCACCTCCTGTTGGGAACGGCCTTGCTCTGAGTTGCTTGCTTGCGGGATTGATTCGGAAACTACTCCACTAAACCAACTAAAAAACACTGGAAGCCGCTAAACAACCTATACCCCACTAAACCAACTAAAAAGAACCTAAGGAACCGGATGGCCAGCCACCAACGACTCGCCCTCCTGCACCGCGCCCACATCGTCGCCCAACGCCAGGCGCTGGCACTTTCTCGTCTTCAGCAGCTGCAGCACGCCTCGCAGGGACCCCCAAATGGGCTTCGGTTTTCTATGGGTTCCCGGGAAAAAAACAAACGATCCCCCCCCCCCAAATATATGTATATATATATAACAAACATGTACCCGGAAAAAAATGGCACGCCCTTAATCAAACGATTTAAGTAGCTCTTGTATCTAACCTCAGGGGGACTTACCATGGGAAGAGCCACATAGCTCAGTTGGAGTATCTACGGCTGTCTTGTTTTCAAGCAATGTGGGAAGGGCGCGTTGCAAACAGTTGTTGGGCTTTGGCAGGGAAAAATTCCCCAATAGCCAACAAGCCGTAAAAACCTGCGCTGATAACTAAAACAAGCTGTAAACACCTACATTACTCACTTGCCCAAAGCACTTAGAAATAAACAGTTAGCCTTTTGGGACCTATACTAAAAGTGGACCAAAAGGCAGAACCATAAGCTTAAAATGTCGATTCGTTTTGGGCAATTGAGACTAGATTGGTTTGAAGGGAAACCAACCCCCGGTGAAATGTCTGGGGACACCTCAAAATGGTTTCCACGGCGCAGCCTGGGGCCCTCACACCGTCACACCCCCGCCTTGCAGGGCGGGTTGCGACACAAGCCTCGGGAAGCAGCCAATCCCAAACCATCCCGAAAGTCACTGATGTTGATCCCTGATTCAAAAACCCCGTTATTAATCAGGAAAGCTTCGTTGGAAGAAAGGATTCTCCACATAAAAGACCCCCTTTCATAATCACTGGGCGTGGTGATTGAGCAGGTGTCAAGATGAGGGGTTTTCACTAAAACAAAGACCTTTCGCAACCTAAGCGTTCTTGCGGATTGCTTTTGGACAGCCCAGAGTGGCATCAAACTCCATGTAGGCCGTTGCCTTGGCGCGTTTCGAGGGGAAACCCGCTCACCCATCGTTCACACGACTTTGCCACTTTCCCATGGGCCCATGTTCCTCAGAATATGCGAAGGGGGCATCCGTTTTGTGGCTTAGACAACCATGGAAAGCTGCAAAGGAGCCTTTTGCGGGCTTCACGGGGCTGAAATGAACTGGTAAGCCACAGCCGCACCATTTCAAGAAGCGGCAACTCCCAAAAGGTGACCAGCACAACCAACCACCTAGGTACATGCCTGGCACCCAGGGGTACATAAGTGGAAGTTGGTTTCCTCGAATATATAGCCGGCAAAACCGGACGTCGGAAGTTCCTAAGAAATAACCAATAAGTATCTGTCTTCCTTCTCTTCGTCTTTCTTTTACTGCAGATGCTCTTTCCATCCGACTTCCTTGTCTTTCTTCTGTATTTTTGTCTTTCCTTCGTCCTTTCTTCCTTCCTTTCTTCCTTGCCTTCGTTACGTGTTTCATTTCTTGCTCTTTCTTTCTTTTTTACACATCAATCTCTTGATCTAGCTATCTGTCTGTCTATCTACCTAACTACCTGCCTACCCTACCTACCTACCTACCTACCTACCTAATTGTTTGTTGTCCGATCACCCTCCCTCCATCTATCTACTCATCTCTATCTATCCATGGCTAACTATTTGCCTATTCAGCTATCTACAGGTTACTCGACGGACCTGTGCTTAGCTGTCTATCTCTGTCTATCTCAGCCTCTCTCTTCTATCTATCTTTCTTTCTTTCAATCGATCTATCTATCTATCGACCTTGTGAAAGCGCTGCGCCTGCCACAAAACCTGCACCTGACCTTGCGAGAACACTGCCGCAAAATCTGTACATCACTGCGCGAAAGCGCTGCCTGCCACGACATCCAGACTTTGCCTTGCGAAAGCACTGCGCCTGCCACGGAAATCTGTACCTGACCTTGCGAAAGTACTTCGTTTGTCGCGAAAACTCAACATCACCTTACGAAAGTGCGGCGCCTGCCACATTGGCACCTCACCTTACGAAAGCGCTGCGCCTGCCACGCAATTGAAATCTTGCGAGAATGCTAGGAGAATACTGATGGAACACAAAAGGTATGCCCAAATAATACTTAAGCGCTGCGCTAAGGTTTTACTAGGGGCCAGTATCTGCCGGCCCCATGCCTGGTCCAGCATGGGGGCGGGGTTCTGTGTTGATGTTGGTTTCTCTGTTCTCTCTAAGCTTGATGTATATGTGCAATATATATATATATATGTGTGTGTATGTATATATATCCCTTTGGGGCGGGAATCAGCCTTTGCGCGTACACGTGTATGAGTTTGGGGTTGTGTCTGTCTCTGTTTATGTTGCTGTTTGTGTTTGTGTGCGTGTCTGTGTTGATTTCTCCGTGTCTGTGTCGCGCGCTTGTCTGTGCCTCTGTGTCTTTACCTGCGTGTGTCTGTCTGGTGCGTGTGCCTATGTCTCTCTCTGTCTGTCTCCGTGTCTGTGTCTTTCTGCGTGCGCTTTTTTGTCGGTCTGCGTTCCCCAGCGGCCGACTCTCTCGCTCGGGCCAAAACTGATTCTGAGCCCTACGCAGGTACCAGGCCATGCAATACCTGACTCGTACACACTGCCCTGGGCGCGGGCTTTGGCTGGGGCCGTAGCATGTCTCACACAAGATCCATGCAAGAATATGAAGACTCGTTCGCTCTTCAAGTGGCACCATGTTGAACACTCATGTGCCACTATCACGTCGTTACGCGCTCTCCCCGTTCTGCTCGCTCACTCTGGCACCTCTTTGAGGTGGTATCGATGTTGCTCGCCATCTTGCACAGCTCCCGAGCTCAAGAGCCGACACGTTGGCCGCCTCGTCCACCTGCAAAAACTCTATGAGTTGATCAGGTTCCCCCGTGATGTCCAGCACACTACTGTAGAGTAGCGCGCAACTCCTTTTGGCGTTTGAGGTTTACCACCAATAGTTCTTGCGCTTTTCGCTGCATTCATGTTGGCGCCACGCACGCACACGCTCCAACACAGTCATGGCAAAAGCGACCTTATCATGGCAATGCACTCTGCCGTGAACCAGGAATCTCGGCATCCTCTTGGTGGCCACACTCCATCCAGGTGTTCCATGCCCGTGATCACGCATTGTGATTCCCAGGCGTGTCCTCTTAGTTGCCAAAAGTTCAAGTCACGCGACTGACGCCACAAAAGTGCAAGTAAACCATAAAATCAATCGCGCAGGTTGTTCTGCCTTTGCGCGAGCCGTCTGTGCCACCCTCTTCTTAAGGCCTGCCAGCTCCTGTTTGCGAGCAGCTCTGTCAGCCATGGTTAAAAATCTGCGCAGCCACTACTTCGTATGGTTCCTCACTGGATCCCAAGAAGATTGTGGGGGCACAGACGTACGTGACCCAACGGGGAGAGTTGAGACGGGCCCGATCCTCCAGCAGCGTTGAATGATTTACGAGCGAGCTCCTTCGCCAACCAAGGATGGCTCAGGTGCTCCGCAAAGAAACAAGCAACGCTTGCAATGCTGGCAGCCTCATGCCAAGCCAAATTGGGCTTGAAAAAATCGTCCATCCGACACGGCGTTGTACGATGAACCTTAGGCGCCCGTCGGCTCCCCCCCCCCCCCAAAACAGGGAATGTATGTCTCTTTGCGTCGGCGAGCCATTAGTGACTTAGAACAAAGCATGTACCTCTAAAAGGCAAGCCATAAGGCAAAAGTGGAACAAGGAGATTGCTCACATTGGAAATCCCGCAAGGGCAGCGGATTTGAAACAAGAATCATGCATAATCCTGTTCTTATGCCGATCGCATTATGACTTGCTCAAAGTGAGAATTTCTCTGACGGGGTACTAGTCAGGTTGGCGCTTGAGATTCGCAGCAAGGTTTCAGTATTTAGGGTTCAGACCAGGACACGCGCAAAGGCAGGAGAGGCGCGACCAGTCATCCTTGTGTCAAAGTCAAAGAATAGGCAAAAGGGGCACAGAAGGCAATGGGGAGATTGCGCGATTACAGCAGATTCTAGATGACACACGCAGTGTGTTTCGATGTTGTAGGCGCTGGCATTTCCTTCGCAACACATAGAATACATATTTGCTGGACACACAAAGGCACGCATGAAAGGGCGAGGCGCTTCTTACGGAAAGCAGTGGAGATGCATTGTTCAGTCATGCCAGCTAATCAGAAAAAGTTATCTTAAACCCATACATGCGCACTCTACGTACAGGCCGGGACGGGTTCGGAACGGGCGCGGCGCCGGGCCCCTGGCACGGACGCACGCACTTTTCGCGACATGAGTTTGCGTGACAGGCGCACCACTCTCGCAAGGTCAGGTATAGATTTCCTGTCAGACGCGGCCTTGCTGTGCTGCTTTTTGACAGGTTCCCACCTTCTTGGCTAGCGGATGGTCATCATACTACGTGATGCCCGTTTGGCTCTGGTATTTTAAGCAGGGCATCCCTAGAGCCATCTTTGATGCTCCTGCCACGCTTGATACGCGCTGTGCCAGTCGCGCAAGCTCATGTCGCTAAAAGCGCGTGCGTCCGTGCCAACGGGCCCAGCGCCCGTTCTCATCCCGTCCCGAACCCGCGAAAAGAGCGTGGCGGTTTGCGCTTCCCGGACACGCGAAACTCGCAGGGCGCACGTTGAGCACTTTCTATCCCGAGATCTGCACTTGTCACGAAATCAGTACCAGACCTTGCGAAAGCACTGCGCCTGCCACGAAATCTTTACACAGGGTGTTGAGAATGAACCGCAAGCGGATTCAAGGAAACCATGGGATGGGGGATGGTTGATAGGGGTCATTCCCTCATTCCCTGCTGAGAACCAGCAAGTAATTCTGGGTTGTTCTGGGTTGCCCAAAAGTGTAGACACACTCCTTAGGTGGGTTCTAGCAGGCTCTAGGATGCCAGACACATCACTTTCCTTGCAAGCCACCTGTTTGTTAGAAGCCGTTTAGGGTCCCAGAGCTCTCATGCAGACCCTGCATAGCCCCACCAGAGCTGAACGGTTCAGTTTCTGAGGTCTAGTTCGGCCCTTAAGGGGCCGAATTGGCCAAACTCAGAGCCCTTGCAAAGGGCCGTCCGTTTTCAGATCCGCTAGAAGTGCTCAACTACTGTTAGTGAGTTGAATGCAAATCCAACCACTAAACACTAAAATGCTCTAAAAAAGGGCTGGGAACCACCAAGCCACCAAGGGTTCCCAACCTTTTCCCAGGTCTTTGAGGCTCCCGTTGGCCTCCGACGTCGCCTGACGCCTTCAGTGCCCAGCGGCTGGCCCGCATCCTCCAGCACCAGCACCCGCACCTTCGCCACATCCGGCGCCTTCTCCCGCAGCAGCTCCTCTGAACTGGGCTACGACGATTTCTGGCAGCTGTCATTTTCGGGGAAATAGATGGGTTTCCCTGGTAGATGATTGAACCACCAGTGGTTTACCAGGGCCATCCATATTTTTCGATCAAAACAACCAAAGAGAACACCTATGTTTCTCGCGCGATTTCAGCTGGGCCAAAGGACGTCGATTGGTGAGGCTCGATGGGCTTTGATCCATCGGCGGTTCGCCCGGGTGTGTCTCCGCTTAAGACCCGCTCGCGCGAGAAAAAAAAAAAAAAAAAACGAGGTCTTCGATTAGGCGAGTTGCTTCCAAACTGGGAGGGACTGTGTGAATAGGCTCACCCTTCGCAGAGAAACGGGGACCCGGACGGAAGCGGCCTTCAAACCCCCAAACCCACCCGAAAGACATCAAGTCCGCCCAAAAACTAGCGGAAGGCATTTGTTGCCCCTATTGAAAAGTCAACACGTGGTTGCCATCCCCGCTGAACAAAAGAATGGGGGAATCCCCGCTGAAACTCAGCACCTGAAATCAAAACGCGAAAAACCAGAGATGAACTCCCCTGACAATCAGCACCTGGAACCATCATCGTTAAACAAACAAAAAGAAAGAAGAACAAAAAGAGCTGAACTGAATCGTACAACGGGGGCCTTTAACCAAAGGCGTGGGACAATGCCAAAGACAAGCAGGCATCACAGGTTACCCCAAGGTTACCTACCAGCTCTTAGAATCTTACAGGAGTATCCTTTTGCGATGACACAATTTAGGCACCCCTTACTTATCAACCAATGGCTCATTAATCATGGGGGTCCCATGAGCCACACCCAAGTGGCTCTGGCCAAATGATTTGGGATGGTTCCGGGCAAGGGGGATGATTCAATCAATGTGGAATTCAGGCATGCTGGGATGATTCAGGGACTGGTTCTATAGCGAGAGGACAATTTGGCGCTTGATTTGGGGGATGCCTTAAATAGACAAATGCGCTCTCAAGGGTAGTCCCCTTATGACCATGGTTCAAGCCCACTTAGCTTCACCATGGGTGTGTCTCAAAATTGGGGAACTCCCCCAAAAATCCAAAAAACATGCTCGGTGTCCTGTTGGTTTCCCTTTAAACCCCCACCCAAAGAAACAGGTTTACCCAAAGCGCCTCTTTCGAGAAGGCCCGCCGAGCCCGGCCCGGGGTCCGGTCGGGTCCCGTCGGGCTCCTCCACCCGCTGGGCCGTGCCCACGACGAGGTTGGCGCCCCGCCGCACCAGCGCCGCCGAAGCCGCCTCCGCGCCTGCCCAGAAACGTGGTTCACTTTGACACTGAGTGACTTGGAGCGCAAAAAACCATCTTAGAAGGTACATGGAAGAACGGCAGTGTCTGGAAAAATGTGGCATGGGCTGATATGAGCGAGAAGAAACGGCGCCCTCGATTTGGACGTCAGGCCTTGCCTTTCTCCTTTGGATACCAGCCAGGGAACCTCACTGGATCCGGAAGATCTTCCATTTCTCTGCAACAGGGCCTATCCGGGCAAAGTAACGCTAGCTTCGGAGTCAGAACCCTAGGCAGAAGGGGTAGTAGATCATTTCCTCAGGGGAACCACCTCTGTGGTTGGATGTCAGGTGCAAGGGCAAAATCCAACGATTTTACCCATCAAGCTCCGCCTGCGCAACGTGCCCACAAGACTTTGAGAGTTGTCGGCGAGCCTTGCAATAGGACTCGTTTTTGCCGGTTTGCGGCTTGTAAAACAACCTAACACAACATGCCTATTTGCAGGAATCATGCACATAGCAACTCATGCTTTTGTGCTTTGTGCTGCTGTTTTGGAGTCGTCATACCCACCTCATGCACACCAACAATTGCATGGAAGGCGTCGGGCCGAAACCATAGAATGATTCAGGCTTTCCCGCAAAATGCAGGGGGGCAATAAACTATGGGTTGCTCTAAAAAAACACCTCCGCAGTTCCCGCAATGGACTCCCGGGCGTTCCCATCCCAACGAGAAAGTCTCACCCAGCCGAGAGCTGCGGTAATTTTACAAAAAGGGCGCCATCCAGAATTGCCTCCGAGGAAAGGGAAAGCATCAAAAGGTCGCTGTACCTGGAGGGCGCGGCCCGTCAGGAGCCGGACGGGTTTTACCCCCCTCTCGCCAAACCAAAAAAAAAATCGCCTCGTGGAGGGCGCGTTTGAACACCCAGCTCTTTACGATTGATCGCGTCCCCAGATCCCAAAGCGCCTTTTTTTTACGGTTGCCGGACGGGGAGCTGGACGGGGTCAACCAGAAGGCTCTGATTTTGGCCTTGACCCCTTAGCCGAATTGGACCTCAGAAACGGAACCGTTCAGGTCATCTGGTGCTCGTTGGATGCAGGGTCTGCATCAGAGCTGAGGGAAGGTCGCCCAGGAGTCCTGGGTGCAGCTCCTGAGTTGGTACTCCTGGAATTGAAGGGGAGCAACAAGAAACCCGAAGATTGCCAGCTGGGTTTCGTGCGGAAGTGTCTGGCCATATTCTTTCCAACTCCTTGGTATGGGCTTGCAAAACACCTTGCTTTTTGCAGGCCCCTACCAAAAATGAGCAGAACCAAAGGACCTAAAAAACCAAAAACATGCCAACAACAGCGAAGATGTTTCACTGTTTCACTGTCTGGAGGGGCCACCTCAAAAGTTCGGCTTCTGGCCAAAGACCCTAGTTAAGTCTACGCACCCCAAGGTGTCCTTGACGTGAGGGTGTTTCATGTTTTTGTTTTTGTTTCTGAGAAATGGCGGGGCTTCCTTTTGGCTTCCCGTTGAAACCACCAAAAATAAAGCGCTCCCTCAAAGCAGCGGCACCTACATCTGGATCGGGGGAAACCAAGGGGACATCCCCATCTTCCGGGGAAACCCCTAAGCTTCTGCCGGGAAATCACTATGATCGAGGGGGAAAACCCCAAGGGGGGGCGGGTGGGGAAATCGCGACTTTTGAGGTTTGCCAAATTCTGGACTAGGTCCACCAGTAGAGAGGTTAGAATAAGGGTACCTTTTTTTCTGTAGTGTATTTTAGTAGGGGAACCCTGCCCCAGAAAAGGGAAAAAGGGCACTACTGGTGGGGGACCTAGTGGACATGTCCACCCGCGTTTTTGAGGAAAGTCCCTATTTTTGGGGGTGGTTTTGAAGGGAAAGCGGAGAACCCACGACTTGGGCGGGTCCCCGGCCTTCACGGACCAGCACGGTGCGCAAAGACCACTTGCCTCGCAGACGGGAGGTGTAAGAACTTAGCCTTGCCTGTCATGGACCCTCTTTCCGTGTTTTGCGGAAGGGTGAGGACTCCCACATGATGAATATTTGAACGGGGTCGGGTACGTTGAAACCCATGATCATACCGGTGGTTTCCACTACAACTGCCACTTTTGGAGGTTCCCTTTAAAGGGATCGGAGCAAACAAGCAAAATGTGTTTCATTTGCAGTCAGGGTGTGGTGCTTTTTCACTGTACTGTTCGGCCAAGTCACTAGGTGGTTAGCCACGTGGGTTGCAACGTTGCAACCCAGGTTGCGCAGGGGCCTTAACATTGACAACTAGGTTGCCGAGATTTAAATCTTCACGAAACTCGGCTGGAGTGAGCACTGAAACACCAAGCACCAAAAAAACCCTCACATGCGCCAGGCGATGCTTCAACCAACCCAAAAATAGGCTTCGATCACCCCAAGAACCCCTAGCAACCGGTCAAAATCATGACCCCAAACAGAATTGCTTCAGCCTCCTGGAAAAAAAACAAACAAAATTGACAGATTCCAACTTCAAAAGCAAGAGGGAACAATAAGACAAAATTTATAGCCTCCAACTTCAAGACCAAGAGGCAACAACACAAACCAAAAATCATGGCTTCCAACTTTACCACCAAGAGGGAACATATACATATATATATATATACAAAAGACATATAGCTTCCCTTGAAAAACAGGGGGAGATTCCCTTGTATCACAGAAGTGGGAATAAACCCCTTAATTCCACAACCCTGAGAAGGGGAAAATCAACAACTGTTCACTTCAGCCAAGTCAGCCCTTCGATTCGGGCGCCCCAGCGCAGCGCGTTGGCCGCCACGTAGATCCGCTCCGCCTCTCTGCGGCTGGGCGCCAGGACCACCGCGCAGTCGTCCAGGGCCCACCTGAGACATGGCGCTTAGGTGGTCAAAACCCATGGTTTCCCTTTAAAACAAGCAAAGGATACCCTTTCCTCTTGGTTTCCCTTTAACACCACACAAAAATACAGGCAATCACCATTGGTGGCCTTTTGGAAAAATCGATGGGTTTCCCTGGTCAATGGGGCAGAAACCAACCATCTAAACCAGGGGAACCCCTCTATTTTTTAGGCAAGGCAACCAATAAGGACGCCTATGTGGCGGTGGTTGTCAAAACCAACAGATTCGGAATCAGCATAATTTTTCACGTACCCCCCCCCCCCAGTTAATTTGGGGTAGCTGAATTCACCACCCACACCTATTTTAGTGGGATGTTCACATAAGCAAGAGACATAATCATGGCATGCTGACCTACCCTTAAACAAAAAAACATGACGGTTTACCTGAGGCGCGGGTCCTATTTTTTTGCTCGATGGATTCGGAGTCAGCATAGCTTTTCACGTACCCCCCCCAAGTGCATTTGACTGGGGCTAAAATAAGCTGAACTCGGACCTTACGGGGGTAGCTAGGGGGTAGTTAGACATACCATGACATCAGCAAAACCTTCACGCAATCGTAGGGGTTGGTTGAGGTTGATGGTTTGAAGGATGGGTATAACTGGGGTAATCGTCCCCTTGGTTCATGGGAAGGTTGAGGTGGGTAGGTTCGTCCCAGGGGTAGGGGCACCCTGTAGAAGACGAGCCATGGGTAGGGGTAACTGGGGTGATCGTCCCCTTACCATGGTGGTGACCTACTTACCAACCGGATTGAACACCCTGGGTAGGTTGAGGTGGTTTCAAAGATCTTCAAACCCCCAAACCATCCAACCAACTAAGGGTTACTTCGCATACTTGTATGTTCAACACTGAAGTAGTTCTTCACCATGGGTATAACTGGAAAAAAATGTCCGCTTGGTTATCATGTACAATTGGGATTGAACGCCCAAGTACGGTCCCTGTCACCCAATGACTTGCGATCGTTGCGGAATCAGAATGTGACATGGAATGATGTCCCCTTAAAGGAAACCACCAGTTGGATGGTTCTTATCGGGGTCAGTTCAATTCTCACTCTCTGCTGAGCACCAGCAAGTATTCAACAAGTCTGCCAGAACCATGTAAAAGAATTCAGCAGGCGGCTGCACCTGATTCTGGCTGGGATTGTCCCTGCCGGACAAATCACCCGCAAGTGATACCGAGGTGGAGTTCATCACGATGCCCCTTGAACTCACGAAAATGGGCCTACAACATCCGGAAAAGAGCGCCGTGGCCATATTTTTCGGACCGTGGCCAAGAATGTTACGGTGAATTCAGCTATACACTGGGGGTTCATACCAGGGGGTCATATATGGACGTATACGTTCAGCCTTCGAGCTCTCTCACGATGCTTCCTTTAGACTCACGAAAATTGGCCCTACGTGCCGCAGGTCCCATGATGGCTGGTTGCAACAGGCGCTACTCGCCACGCCCAGGCGCCAAAAACATCGACCAGGCACCGGAAGACAACAACAGACCGCAAACACCCGAACAGAAACACCGAAACAAAAGCCAAAACCACATCCGGAAAAAACCAAGCTTTGTCCTTTAAGACACGCCCAAGTGGGTCCCAACTCCAAACACAACACACAAAAACCGGCGATGAGGGAGGAGCACCAACACGAAAATACCTCGCCCAACGAACATAAAATCAAAGGTACCAACCCCGGGGACGAACTCCAGAACAATGCTGCCCAAATGTCCGATGCACGGAAAAAGGGCGCACTGCGTTTGTTGGTTGATTTGAAAGGGCAACCCTTCCCAAAGAAACAGTCTGTCTTTGTGTTTTGAAAAACTGGTGTCAGAAAAAAGAAAAAAAAGCAAAACAACTGGCTGGTGCTCAGCGAGGAAGCAGGCACTAAGCGCTTATAAAGGCCTGGGCTCCCCTCCCCCTCCCCTCCCTCCCCCCAAGCCCCCATGACAACTAGGTCCTCCAGATTTGAGAGGCTAGAGGTTAGGGTACCAAACTTTTTCAGGACGTCTATTCTAGTAGGGTTGAACCCTCCCCCCAAAAAGAAGCGGTGAAAGTGATGGCACCTAGCTGGCGGACCAAACGCAAAAACCAGCCGGTGTTCTTCCCGAATCCCACCATCCATCCATCGAATATCCGCCTCTCCACCTTGGCGCGGTCCAGCAACGGCACCAGGAACGCCAGCAGCCGGGCGCGGCCTGGCCGGGCAAAAAAAAATCCCCGGCCTCCGCGGACCTGGCCTTTTTTTGTGTGTAAAAACAAAGCCTCCATTTGCAGTAGACCCGCGTTTTTGAGGAAGGGTTTAAAGGGACACCAAGAGGGGGAAAACCAAGAGGGGGGTGGTTTTAAAAGGATTGTTGGGGGTGGTTGTGCAGGGAAACCAAGAGGAGAACCCACGATTTGGGCGGGTCCCCCCCTGTTTACACATACCAATTTCAATCCCCCCGGCCTTCACGGACAAGCCCTGGAAAGAATGAGAAAACATGTCCAATGGTGATAAATGCCCTTTAAGACCAACAAAGTCTTAAATGAAATATTTATATTCTTAAGCAAATGGAAGAAAGAGTCCGCAACAGAAGGATGCCTGAAAGAGCGGGGGGTCCCTGGACCAATGGTTTCAACTTGTTGGCGAGATCAAACATTGCTGAGGGCCAAGGTCGGATTTGGATCAGTCCATATACCAGACAGTCTGGCATCAACACAGAGTACTGTCAATACACAAGAACTATGTGAAGAGACTTCAAAAGGCCGTTCATAAATTTATAAATATGAACTGCGATGCTTGTGTGTTGTGCTTGGTTCCTACCTGTCACGTTGCTCACAGCCGATCATACCCCTATATTCTAAGTGCACAGAAATACATGAAACATGTGAACATGTGACCCATAGTCCAACACGGGACCTTCGGCGCACCAAACTGCAATGCTTAAAAAGCCTTCTATCTGCTGCTCCGCCATAACAACCCTCACTATGAAATAAATCATTGGGCTGATGCTCCTTGGAGTGCCCCACGCAAGATTAGATGATTGGAAATTTGGACCGAGCGCTTGTTTTTGAGATGCCTGCATTGAACATCTCCCACCTTTAGTGTCAACTCCTTTTGAGATGACAACCAAAAAGTGCACTTCAGTCACCCAAGAACCAACTTGCTCAAAGAACATTTTTTGTTTCTACCGCCACTTCTCCCTCCAACCCTTTGGAGCGATCCCTTGTTCGTCGGAAACTGTAAGAACCTAGTTCGATGGATTGAAAGTGAAGAGAAAGCTGAAAGCGAGTGCCCAAGCCGCAGAAAATGAATAGCATGCCAAAAATAGAGTTTGAACCTAAAGACTGGTGGAACGCGGTCGTGACCCCTGGACCCTGGTTCATTGAGAGAAGGAGTCCGTCAACAAATAAGGAGGGCATCCTTTCCTTTTGGGCCAAACATCGAAAGATCTAAAACCCAGGTCACTCATCATCAAAGCCCGGTATTAACAGGGTCTACCATGTAAAGAATGAAGCAGGCGGCGAACGCACCCTTCTATGGGGATTCGGGTTTTTGGTTTTGTTGCGCCCAGTAGCACCACTGTGCTACTCCTGTAGTCGAATTGAGTTCGACTCCTGTAGTCGAATTGAGTTCGACTCCTGCGGTCGAATTGAGTTCATATGCTCCCTGTGAAAAACGTGTCTCAGGTGACTCATCCCCCCTGACCTGGCCGAAGGCCCACGCGTGAAGCGCCCCAAGCGCCCGAAGCGCCTGCAGGCGCCACCGCCAGCACGTCCCGGCCCTCCAGGATCGGACGGCACACCTGCGCTCTTGGAGCTCGACGCCGCGTCGACGCGGCGTCGAAGCGGCAGGTCGTTCAAAGACGTGACCACAAAATGGGCCGTGGATGGTGAACTCCAGGGGGCCGCTCCGACGGGCTGAGCACCCTACATGGGAAAAAAATAATCCAGTACACCTAAAATAGGTTCTAAAATGGGTGGTGAATTCACCTACCCCAAAATGGTACCGTTGGTTTTGACCCACAGCCACACAAGCTTCCAAAAAAAAAGGTGTTCCTTGCTCCGCTGAAAAGCTATGGGCTCGATAGGCCCAGAGATCGGCTCCTTCGGGATAGTCTTTCGGCAGCTTTCGGGGAGGGTTCCGGAGTGTTCTAGGGCTGTTTTGGGAGACCCTCAAACTGGTGTTCCTTTTGGCTTCGCTTTAACACCACACAAGGCAGGTACCAATTGGTAGTTTCTCAAAATGGATTTCGGCATCGCTCTTTGGTTGGTCAAGGGCAAACTTGAAGGAAACCAACTATGTGGGAAACCACTATTTTGAGAAACATCCAGTTGTGTTTACCCCGGAGTCATCATTAGATGGGCATCCGTCTTCAGGAACCCCGAAAAAGATGGGGTCCCCTCTGTTTTCCCAAAGCATCGCCAAAATCCAATACTTCAAGTGTCCCATAATTGGTGGTGTCCATTGGTGGTTTGCGGATTTGAACCCCTGGAATTGGTGGAATATATGGGAAACCCCTCCTTCACCTAACCGCCGATTCGGCTCCAAACCACCGAGTGGGAAGCTGAGTACTGCTTTGGAGCCATAGCTATGGAAAGCTTAGGATCCGAAAATCAATGCTCGCCTTAGTGGGCTCTGAAGCTGTATGACTAACAGCTTTCCCACCCAAACTTTATGAACACCATATCTTTGAATATGGTCTCTGCTTGAATGGGATCTTCATATCAAGAGGTTCTTTCCTATGTCCCTCCCAATGTGTGGCAGTTTGGCATCGTACAATCATAATGTTTGTCCCCGGTCCAAATAACATTCAGGGCAGTCCTTGTTTCCGGGGCGACTGCTAGCCAGTACTTTGAAGGCACGCGCAAGGTTTTGCCCCATTCTTGTTTTTTTGGTACCCAATTACATAAGAAACCTCGCGAACACGGCGGTGGAACGCTTGGCAGCGCGGCTCTCGCCGCGCCGCTGCCCAAAGTTGGCCATCACTGCGGAGTGGTAGACATTGAAAAGCGGTGGGACTGCTTGGGCACCCTTTCAGACCGCAAGCTGCCGTGAAACCCGAGGGCCGTGTCCTGCGTGCATCACGCCCATTTTGGAGGCGCCCACAATGCCGGTTTGACCCTGGGGTAAGCCTTTTCTATGTCGTACAAGGTGACGACTCTGGTCCGGACCACAAGCCTCTTCCGCGACCCGGCGTGTGACTTGAAGCGCGCCGTCGCCACGGTTGCGGCGGAATCCTTTGGCACTCCATGCTGAAGTTCGAAAACGCCCTGGCTGGTAGCATCATCCCTTCCGCTCCTCTGGGCATGTCAGAAAAACATCCCTTTGACAAACAATCACCCTGGGGCAGATGATCCAATGAATACATGAAAAGCCTGGAATTGTCTGCAAATTATCAGGGTCTTGGGAACAAGCCGTACCAAAGGAGAACTCAACAAATGTTGGCCCAAGAATTGTTTCATTCACCAACCTCCATTTGCTTAAGCCCCCAGGAAAAACATAGAAAATATATGGTCGATAGTGATAGACTCCTTTTAAAACTAAAAGAGGGAAACAACAGAAATTCATTTCGGCAAAAGGAAGCCAATCTTCCAAGTGGATCCACCCCCTATCCTTTTGCCAAGGGTTCCATACCTCTAGGCTGTCTATCCAGTCACATCCCTGCAGAAACCCAGCAGTCATGGGGAAGAAAGGACTCGCACCCGGTTTGGGTTGGTTGAGTTTAGAGGCAAATCAATCCCCAATACCATTTTAGAGGTCCTCTCCCAAAATTCCACTTGGAAGATTGGCTTCCATTTGCTGAAATGAATATCTGTTGTTTCCCCTGTCGGTTTTAAAAGGAGTCTATCACTATTGGACATGTTTTCTTTTTTCCCGGGGGCTCCCCCTCCCGCTCCCAAAAATCCTGGAAGAATCGATTCCACCGCCTTCCGCTGCAGCTCGGTGAAAGGCAAATACCCGAGCTCCCGCAGCCTTGTCTGCATGCCCTTGCCTCGGCGCACGGGTATCCCTCGGATCTGGGGGCCGGCGAGGTGCTGAGCCTTGCCACTGCTTAAGCCCCCTGGAAAAGATGCAAAACATGTCCAGTAGTGATAGATTCCCTTTAAAACCAACAGGGGAAAACCAACAACGTCAGGAAGCAAATGGAAGAGCATGACCACCAAACCAATAGCTTCAAGTCCCCTGATTCACTTGGCAACTGCGGCTCCTAACCACTTAGCTCCCAGACCATCTTTTAGCACGCTACGTCCCAATGGAGTGGGAGCTTTTGCCGTCTCATTGGATCCGAAGTTCATTTTTCGTGTTCCGTTTAACCAGCGCCGCTGCTAGGCCACCCGAGAAGTCGCTCCGTTCCAGGGGGTCCTACCCCCAATCCGCCCAAGGATTCTGAGGTTTGGAGCATCCCTTCCGCAAGAGTTGGCCATGGACAAGGACTTCAAAGTGAAAACCCTGGGACTGGAAGGCTCCCGAAATCGCAACGCAACTCAACAACATCCTGTCACACAGTTCGGGGCAAAAAACAAAAACATCCGACGTAGACCCAAAAAAAGGGACCTGAAAAAAGATCAGGAAACCAAAAGGCGAACTACTGGAGATCTTCCTGGAGTTTTCCTTGTTTCCTGGAAATACTTGCTGGTTCTCGGGGTGTGAGGGGTCCTGAGGGCCCAGTGTAAATGGCTTGGCCAAAACGAGCAATGCATGGAATGCCAAGCTCCCATTCATGGGCCTTGACGAACCATCCAACGGAAATTCCTGATTTCTGACTGGTTCTCAAAGAATCCAACTAGTCATAATCAAATCCGGTATTATTTGGTCTACCGAAAGACTTATAAAAAATTGAAAAGGCGGCCGCACCCGACTGACCCTTACCCCAACTACCCGAGTTTTTGATTGTGACTTAATGAGCTGCTAAAAAGCTACCCTTAAAAGAAACCAACAAGAAATGGGTCATAGTGATTCCCTCATTCCCCCAAAACCAGCCAATATTTCGAGCAAACCAGGAAGACGGGGGGGGGGGTGAGGGGGGCGGGTGCTGAATTCCAAGTGCCAAACTTCCAAAATAAATATCCTGGAAGATCCCAATAAGTTCGCCAAACTGGGGGAAGGTAGGCTTTCCTGGGTATTATTTCTGCTTCGCGTCTTAGAACGCTCACCGGTTCGCTCGCAGGGCTCTGAAGTAGTGTTGCTTTGGACCGAACATGTTAGGGCCAACGGCCTCTTTACGATACGTACGATAAGGGCCCCAAGAAATTGACATGGGCTTGCGAAGCACGTTTCAGATCAGTTTGAGTCATGCTAAGAGCAAAATCTTAGCTTGCGCTTCATATTCAGCTTGCACAAACAACTGTTTCAAATAACATCTGCAGTGCCTTGGCACTTAGACTAAGTTTTGCCTGATGTTGGCCCTCAATGGCCCCCTTTGGTCGCTTATACTATGGGAGCACTCTGCGGGTCGGCCCTGAATCTGATTGTGAATGCTCCCGATGACGCGCCCTTCGGCGAGTTCTGGCTGCAGGCCTTCCGCCCTTGTTCGGGGCCTTGCCCCTGCTCGGGCTCTTGGCCCTGTCTGGTGCCCTTGCCGTTGTCAGCGCCGCTGGTGCTCCGATCCAGGAAGACGCGCATGGCATGCGGTGGGGTTCCTCACACCGGAGGTACTTACTGATCACGTGGCGCACAGCCAGTCCCGGCAGCCTGGCTCGAAGTCGGTCTGCTCGGCCAGGTGCACGATCAGTCGGTATGGCTGGAGCAGGTAATCCAAGTCGCATCTCGCGACACAGGTAAGTGGGCCACAGAACGGGACAATGACATGGCTACTCCTGGAAGACATTACCCAAATAGACTTTGTTCAGAGAATCAAATTACATTTTTCAAGGAACCTGGAGTTTCGTGCCCTCGGATTTGGGTTGCAAACACCCTTTTTCACCTTACCCCTTGGCAGTTTGGTTTGGCGGTTTGGACGTTAGTTGGTGCCTTCCCCATGCTTCAAAGTTGGAGCACAAGCGGAAAAAAAAAAAAAAAAAAAAAAACACACGGATCCAAACCATTTCAGGGAGGACTCAAACCGCTTCCCGGGACAAACCGACTTGAACGAAGTGGGCAACAGCCGTGGGTGAGATCCTCGGGCTCAAGAGCCCAGAGCCAAGCCGAGGGCCCAATCTCCTCGAAGCAAAGCATGGCTAAAAAAAACAGCCTAGTCAAAAAGGTGGAGGTCTCAACCTCCTGACCTATGAAGCAGCGAAATGGAAACCAGGAAAAACAAGGAAAGCCAGGAGACCAAAAGGAAAGCAAGGAGAAGCCAACAAATCCAAACAAGTGAAAACCATGACGACTCACTGGGCTAAGTAGAATGTAGAGTAGCTAGCACAGTTGAAGCTTGTGTTGGCCCTAAAATGAAGACCAAACTCGGGTGACCTCAACTGGACTCTCTTCAGATGCGAGGAGCGCAATTGATTTGGAAGCGCTCGGAACCCGGGGCCCTGGAACGGGGAACTCCTTGAAGCGCTTTTTTTTTGATAGTTTCAAGTCGAAATTAGACAAAGGTTGACCTTCTCAAAAGGGGTGTGTCTTTTCTTTAGGGTACCCCCTTCAAAATGGTTAGGCTCCCCATAGCTTCCTTTGAAACCAACCCCAAAAGGGGCATCATCAAACAAGGACACTTCCAAAGAGAAAGGTCACCACTAGGCAACTGGGCTCACAAGAAGCGGTCGTCAGATTGCCCGGTGGACTATGGCCCATTTGGGAGGGACGCGGAAAGACCTCACGAAACCCAGACTTACTAAGAGGACAAGTTATTAGATCGTACGAACGGCTTGCTTTCCAAGACACTGAGGGGAAGCCTCGCAGAGTCCTCGATCGATCGATCGATCGAAGTACTGGGGGTGGACGAACTCTTGTTGCTACTTCATTCAGCACCCCAAATCAGCCGCCTAAAAATCCATCTGTGGGGAGGTGGGTGGGTGCTTGGGTTGCCTTTGCGTTTGGCTCACGTATTCAATCCATGTCTCCCCAATCCTGCTGGAGGGATTGGCAGCTTTGCAAGGAGTGAGGGAGGAGGGAGGGAGCCCAATATTCTTAAGAGCTACTTTGGGCTCGAAGACTGAATTTTCCCACAAATGGAAATATGGACGGTTGATTGCATCCAGAGGCGCGCTGAACTGCGCCCCCTTTTCTGTGCGACCGGTCTCAGCAATCTTATGGCTTTAGCTTGCACGACGCGCAGTGGCTGCGCTCGACTACCTTTCTTTAGCTTGGCATCGCGACCTTTGTCATTGGCCAGCAGGTGCCCGGTGATCACAGGTAGGGATATCCTGTTCCGTGAACCTGCGCTGTTTGTCTCCGCAAGGCTGCGGTATTGGTCGAGACCCAAAATCACCATCCTCGCCCTGAACTCGCACCCTTGCATTCCGACACGTTGGACAACTCAACCCGAAACCAATCCTACACCGACACCCACCCTTAACCCTAATCCTGTCCTAGACCAACCCTAAACCCCGCCCCACACACCCTAAACACCACCCCACCCCACCCCACCCCACCCCACCCCACCCTACACCACACCACACCACACCACCCCAACCCCAACCCCAACCCCAACCCCCAACCCAACCTCACACCCAACCCCACCCCAACCCAACAGAGAAGGGGGAGTGGAACATGTGTGCCTTTTGTCCATTGTCTGGGGCGCGCAGCAGCGAATTGTGCAGATCCGGGCGCTCGGGGGTGGGGGGCCGGATTGATAAACCCGTCCAACCCTGCCAAAAGCTCTCAACGGCAACTTCGGTGTGTGCGGTGAAGCAGGTGGAAGTGCAATGGGATCCGCAACCTGACCGCGAACCTGAACGTGTTGCTCCGACGTTTGGTTGAGGCCCAACGCGTTTGGGCAGAGCCAGAACTGCAAAAATCCGGTGTCGACTTGCAGGATTTCACGCGTGACAACGTGACTGACTGCAAGGTTCTTTGGATCACTGTGGATGATGACACGCCCCGATAACTTGGTAGTTCCCAGCCACCCCCTCCCCCGAAGTTTTGAAAAAGTAGACTTGTGAATTGCGGGAGGTTTGTCACCTTCCTACGCTTGGGGATTGCAGATTCCATGAATTTCCTTGACATCGAACCAAATGTTCCAGCCAGTTTTCCCTGTCCATAGGGGGCATAGCAAACTTTGGCTGTGGCAAATATACTTAGATGACGAATCAAACCGTTCGTAACCTTGGTCGAAAACCACTTACCATGGTTGCAAGTCAGGTTCCAACCAGTATTGCCATGCATTTGGCTCTTTGCCACGGACCTTCCAAGAACCCGCCAATATTTGAATGTGGCAACACCCATTGGATCCCAGTTATGGGCAACCCTTCGCCATGTTCCTTTTGGTTGAAGGGTGGCAAACCCTTTGCTTAAAGAAACGTGGAATCACTGGGGCAGCACATCTCCTAGGGCTTTCGGATCCCCGCTAAAAGAAATACGTCACCCCGATGTTAATCGAGGGGGGCCATCCCCACTTCAACAAAGTCACCCCCTAATCATCGAGGGGGTCATTGCTCAGGTTCAATAGGACTTTCGGATTCCTCACCAAATTCCACAAGTCAACCCCCATCAAATCAAGCTGGGGTTTTATTAGTCTGGGATAAAAGAAAAGCCGGTGGTTGAGCACTTGGCGACTCCGTAGCCCAAAGGCGTCTCCTCCTTCGCGGCCGCGGCCGCGAAAGAGCGCGCGCCTCGAAGCCCAGCCGAAAACTCCCGAGTCGCACGAACGGCACGGCCGTGGCCGAGAAACACCCGCGGCGGCCAAGCGAGAAAAAAAACACAGCGAGCATAGGTGGCCTTGTGGAAAAATACATGGCCCTGGTAAATGGAACAAAACCCATCTAAACCAGTGCCATCTATTTTTAACCAGGCTCACCTAACAAGGACAATGGCGGCGAGTTCAACCCGTGCAGGGGAAGGCAGCAAATTAGAGAGGAAGTCGGCTCAGGCCCCCTCACTTCTCTGTAGCTTCTATGAACCCCAGCCCCCGGAGACCTGACATATATATATATATATATCAAGAACCCCCCAAGTAAGCAACCACCCCAAACATCCCCCTCAAAGGCCCCTCGAGGCGTTCAGTGGCCTTGTTTGCCGCCTACGGCCTTGGCGGTGGGTCGAAGGTAGCTCCATCTTGAAAGCAGTACCATAGCTAGGCCCTGCAGATAATCTATTTTTGTAGGGGAAGAGCACAAGGTAACCGCAGGCACCACCAAGTCGCGTTTTCGCCGTCGCCACAAAAAGGGGAATGCAAATGCTGGAGGGACTATGTCAGGATTGGAGCTCTGCATGCTGGTGAGATCTGGTCGTGTTTGAGAAGGTGGTAAGCCTCTTGATAGCACTGGCAAAATCTACCGGTGTGGCGAGCAAATCAACCATCTTGGCGGTCCCTACCCAAAATTTGGGTGTGATTTTTAACGCAGGACCCTTTGGTGGACGTCATTTGGGGATTCATGTCCACCGGATAACCACTTTTGAGGTGTACCGACAAAAACACATAGCCATCAACAGCACCCGAAACATCAAACAAGAACTTACGTCGTCAAAGGCCCAAGCCTCAAAAAATGGTAGCCTGCTGCGACTTAAATAAAGTTGACCCCGGATTAATGTATATTGCGACGCTAGAGAAGATGTTCCCGGAATTATGTTTTGACGCAAATGGGGCCGTTCCTTTCAAATAGAAGATCAAAAAAACATGTCTGGTGTTGGAACCACTTGTTGCGAATGATCTATTTGAATTGCACAGCGGCTCAAGGTGTCATTTTCGTGGAGCAGCTAGTCAATGTTACCAGTCTGGGGGTCCCAGGGCGGAGCACGTTCTCACCTCGTCTCTTTCCCACGTGTTTGAAGGACAAGCAAAGAGGCATCAACCAAGTTTCTTTTCTGGCCTTCCATCAATTTAAGTTCCCTCAGCAAGCTATTTTTCAGAAGCTACTGTTTTGACCAGTTTGTGGTTGAAAAGGGAAGATCTTCTCTTAGTTTGATTTGGTGAGCGCGCTATCTGTACTTTGGCCACCTTGTGTTGGTGGCAACAATATCTTCTATTTGAAGAGAAGGGCAAACAGGTACTCTTGCGAATCTTGCACTCGCCTGGGGAACGCATGCAATTGCAATTTCTGTTGATTGAAAGGGCCCAGAAAATAGGCATCTTCTATTTGGAGAAGAAAAAAAACCCTTCTATAATACTTAATCCGGAGTCAACATGATCACCGTTTCACTCGCCAGAATAAGCCTCGTGTCTCTTACCCAAACACCAGCAACCTTGATCAGCTTTCCCTGTGTCTCCGGTTAGAAGCCTACTCCCCTTGACAAATAGGGATGGGTCAGAGTGACCCCGTGTGAAATCTCCGAAGCACCTGCTGGTCAGTCAGGAATTTCAACCAGAGTCGAGTTCAGGGTGATTCCGGGGCCGGAGCCCCTAAACCTATGGGAACAAGAAAACAGGACAGCGGAACAAAAGAAGAGGCTCATGGCTACGGGAAGAAGAGGGTCATGGCTATGGAAGGATCCTTACGACTGTCCAAGCTTCCTGCAAAAGGCTTCATGACCATCCGCGGTACAAAGAAGCAGGTCTTTCGACCATGGCACATATGGGCAAAAATGACATGGTTCGCCCGAGACTAAGAACCTTAGGTTTTTGTGGGACCTTTTGTGTGAGTCCCCCAATGTCCCTCCCAAATGAACCATGGACTACTGGTAGCTTTGACCGAACCACATGTGGTTACATAGCAAGTGCAAGTGCTGCCACTGCCCTTGAAGAAAGTCATTGAACTATTGCCAGTGGCCGATTCAACTCATTTCATATTTGCGGCTACCAGATGACGGTCAAACATATTTTTCTTGTAATGAAGATGGGATGTGTTTGCTGTTTCTTTGCTTGTGCTTGTGGGAAGCTTGGTGAGTCCCTTCAAACCCCTCCCGAATTGACCAAAGCCTACTGAATTGACCAAACGTTATACGGCGGGGGAAGCAAAGGATCAAGCAGTAAGGTGCCCCAATGTTACTCGGGTAGGTTGACGTGCGCAGCTCAGTTTTTGACCCGCATTGTCTTGTCAGTCTTGTCTCAAAAGAAAGCGCAAACGAACCGCTTCAGGATCCAACCCGCACCAAAGAAACCAACCAAACGGGGATGTTTTAAGGCTCGATCTTGAGTCGGCAAACAAATCTTTAGAACGCAAACCAGGAGGGCACTACCCCCAAGTCAGGGGTCTCTGACTAGGGGGCCATGTCAATGCCAAGTGTCCCCCCTTTTGTGGGCCACGCCAATCGATTCATCGTAGTGCTATGGTCCTCATAAATCCTCTACGAACATTTGGCGGGGCCTTCTGAGAAACTCCCCCGGAAGAGGTGCCTCTCGGCTTCCTGATGGGTTCGGGGGTTGCACCCGGTTTTCGAAGCTTCCCAAAGAGACAAGCCCGGTGTGCGCCTACCCAAAGAAAGGCGGCTTCTTGTGCCTCGCCCGAACAAACGCAAGCTGAATTGGGCAGATGTTGCCATGGCAATCGGAGCTCGAACATGTGTGGCCAACTCATTGGCCCAACCTACACTGGGGTCATTATTTTGACTGTTTCCGGGGTCAAAGTCAGAAACTGGAATTGGTCGTTTCCTTCAACCCATCACTTTAGGGATGACTTTGATAAAGGGAGAATCATGAGGCCAGCTACACCGAGCCTTGCGCTCCAAACCCCTCGGCCTCTTTGGGCTGCAAAGCGCACCCTGCGCATCCATCCGCGCAGCATCCACGCGGCATCCGCGCGGCATCCGCAGATGCGCGCAAGCGTGCAAAGCAAATGATCGGTTGAGTCACAGCCCTGTCGATTTTTGGGTGCTTCTAAGCAGGCCAAGACGGATGTCCTTTTGGGTGAACTGGTTGGTGCTTGAAAACCCCTGCTCATTTGGCAGTCTCAAACATGGTGAACCTCCTTTTGGTTGGCATTGAAGGGGAAACTAAAAGTAAACCAGCCAGTTTGGGGACCGAATCACCTAGAGTTTTGGGAGGATTGAGTTCTGGCCCAAAGTCGCGGCCTAGCCAAAACGATGTTGGAGGGTTTCCTCCCACCGTTGTTCGCAGGTTTTTGGAGGGTGCCGCCTGCTTTTTGATGGCTTTGGGGAGAGCAGGCCTACCTTTCCTGAGCAGTGCATGCCCGTTGCATCGTGGTCTTCGCTCCAGCTCAAGGCGGTGCATCAGAGATTTGAGCCGCCGAAAAACGAGCGAAGGGTGCGATGCCAAACCAAGAAGTACGTTTCGTGGCTTGGGACAAGAAGTTCAAGGCTTCCCAGATCCAACCAAAATGGCCATGGACGAATTCTCTGGGTGAATAATGTAACGGACACCGGGACACCCCCCAAAAAGTTCAAGACACGTCTGAAAGAGACATATCAACTAATGATTTATCATGGTCTGTTCATGGCTTCAGCATTGCCTATTGCGCGAACCTGCGAGAACATGCGAAAGGAAAAACAAACTAGGCCCTTCTTTGTCCCAGCTCTTGTCCAGAACCTCACATTGGCCATGGGGAGAAGTTGGAATTTACTAGTGCTTTTTATTGAAACTGCAACTGTTGGAGTTCCAAAGAAGTGAAACGGAGGAAACCCTGCCCCTGAACAACATGCTCCTTTACAAAGAGTTTCTGCGAACATGTCTGGAGCCTTCAGGCTATTCCATGACATCTTCGTATCAGGTAGGCCCAACAAGTACAAGTGGATGGGGGTGTCAAGAAGCACTAGCTTCTGTCCCTCCCTCTTGCACACAGCACCTGTAGGGTCTCTGAAAGATAGATTTCCTTGTGGGAGTAAGGGTATTTCCTCTAACATAGCACCCGGAGGGTGCCAGGAAGATAGATTTCCTCTGGACACCCGGGTGCCATGGGGTGAATTCTACCCGACCATCCGGGGAGGCCATGTCAAGCTCTTCGGGCGTCGCAAGGCCGAAGGCTCGAAGGCTTGAAGTCCGGAAACTGAAAGAAAGATCCGGAAACATGAAAAACACCGCAAGAACATTGCAACTTCTTTCCTGGCGGTTTCCATTTCTTTATTTTGGTGTTGAAAAAGCAACATGGGTCAAATGGTTGCCAAATGAATTTCTTTTAAGGAGCCCTGTGAAAGAAAAAGTGGTTGACAACCACGTGACCGACTGCAGGTCTTCTCAGCTTCCCTGAAAAACCAACCGTTGGGGAAAGCCACTAATTCGGGGTCCCGGGTTGATCGAAAGGTCCTGTACATATCACGACCGTTCGGGGGAAACTACTAAACAACTGATCTTTCAACATGTTTGGGACCAGAAACATTGATCAATCTCCCCAAGTGGTGGTTTGGCTTGGTTTAAAGTGGTGCTCCGGGATGCCTTTCCATTAATCCTGGGCACAGGCAAGGAACAGGCTAGGCTGGAACCGCAACCAAACAGCGGATCGGCCTCAATTGAGCATGAAAAGGACGCTATAAGTTGGATTGGTGCAACCAGCAAAGACTGAAGGAACAAACAGATTCCTCTCCCCAACTCTCAGGAAGATCCACTAAGCTGATTGATCTTGAAATGTTTTAGGCTGCTGACGGAAGACAGGAGACAGGAGACAGCCAAATCCTCTCAGCCCCGCCAATTCCAAAGGGTGGCACAGGCCCCATATCTGTCGCTTTAAGCGGGTGACGCCCTGAAATCATCACAGAAATGGTTGCCAAAAATGACTCACAATCGAAGCCTGGTGTGCAAAGACTCCGCCCAAATGATAACGATTCAACGCGGCTTTTTGCCGACCATAGCCATTTGCATGTGCGTGTGTTTCTTTGACTTGAGGATGCTTGAAAGGGGAATGGGAACCTGACAGCGGGGTCAATCACAAAACCATTCTTCTTGTAAAGGGACCCCGGACCCCAGTCAGGTTCCACGATAAGCGAGGAAGACCCTTTTACGGGTTCCCCATGAAGCCCAACGTATGGAAAGCAGACTCTCCTTGCTTCGATTTCGCTGGGGACCAACCAGAGGCTTTCCGAAAAAATGAGATCTGGCCGTAGAAGCCCCAGAGAAAAAAACAAACAGAAGACAAAGAAGGGGCAAGACGCAACTAGCAGATTCTAGAATGATTCCAACACCTGAGTAAGGGATACCAAGTAAAGGATCTTTACCATGGTAAGCTCGTTTTACCCCTGAATCGGTGAGCGCGCCACACGAATAAGGCAGAACTGTAGGGAACTCCCCCCCACCAGGCGACGCAGGGGGTGGATCAAAAGGTCCTTTACATGGCATGACCATTGGGGGAAACCAACAAAAGATAATATATGTCCACCAAATGCGAAAAATTATCCGTGGTCCGAAGGGAATATTGATGGGATGAGAAAGCGACTCGGAAGCCTCCCAACTGGCTGGTTTCTGGGGAGCAAATGAGGTGACCATTTACCCACGGTGACCATTTACCCAATATCGAAATACATATGTGTATATATATATATATGGGTGTGTCTCTTTTTGAGGGTCCCCCTTTCGGTTTTGTGAAAGAGAGAACTCCACCAAACCGCTCCCCCGCGGCGAAGAACTGTTTTGGCTTCGGCGCCCCTCGCGCAGACGCGAGCGCGTCGAGCGCCGAGGTCCAAGTCCGCTCAGCGGCGTGCTCGGCCTGCGCGCCGGCCGGGCCGAGACGGGGGTGGTGTCTCTCGCTGGTTTTGGCACGGAGCCACCTGGATTGCCGATGGTTTCCCATTGAACGGCCCAAAAAAAGAGGGAACCCTCAAAACGACCCACCCACGTTTTGCTGTTCTTGACAAAAAAAACAACAACACAAAAGACGAAGCGCAGGTGGAATCCCCCACCCTGGGAACCCTTCCGCAGCCTTAGCCTGGAACGCCTTTCAAACCGAGCCGATGGGCACTCGGAGTGCCCCGAGCTTGCTGAGGATATGACAAAGGGCCCAGGGATTCAGGTCTCTGAAATTGAGAAATGTCCCACACGCCCTGAATCAGCTTCCCCGGAATTTGTGGGATTTGAACCCCTGGTTCTTGTAAAGGCTAAATGGGAAACCCTCCACCACAAACCACCAGCCCAAACCACCAATTGGAGGGAAGCTCCCTAAAGCAGGGATGGTGCCTGGGAAGGAGTAATACCATGCAGGGCATGGAGGGGTACCCGCTGAGTTGACGGTTTGCGCTACGGTTGACGGGGCCAAAAGAAGTCCGAAACTTTGAAAACCCCCCCCCCCCCCCGAAAAAAAGAGGATTGGAACAGAAACGCACTGCTTCCTCATCTAATTGAGAGAATGAGGAAAGAATTGCTCAGCTAGAACTAAGGCACACCTTGTATGACTAACAAAATAGGGCACTCCACATCCTTGATGCCACATGTGCCAATGAGCCTCCGATGGCATGTATCGATGACCCGCGCCCAACGAACGCATTCTCTCAAGTGCTGTCATGTATCGAGGGCGTACCCGGGCAAAGCCGCGGACAAGAAAAGCCACAGAGTCACCTATTGGTTGAGAGGGGAATCATAGGGGGGGCCCTCAAGGATGAAATCCACCATGGCACAAAATAGTAGCCCCAAGTCAAACAAAGCCGCTTGTGGATCCCCCCCCTTTCAGGCTGCCATGGTTGCTCGTATGTTTCAATCACCCAATGCCCAAAACAAACACTTGACCAGCAACGCGCCTCACATCTTGTCCGTTGCGCGCAAAGGCGATGCGGTGTAATTCGCCCAGTCACCCCATGCGCTTCCAGTCAGGCCGTCCTGGCAAAGCCGTGCTGCATGCTCCTGAAAGAACATTGATCCATCGTGTTGACCTCGGAATAGTAAAACTGCATTTTTGCAGGTGGTCTTAAAAGGACGACCTCGGAAAAACACAGGCTCAAAAGTATGGCTAACGCTCCCTAGTAGAATGCATTTTCCGTGCCTAACCAAAGCAGTCTCCAAACAGTTTGTTAGACATCCAGGACATGTCACGCTGACGCAGGAAGCTATCTGACTCTTTACAAATTGCACCTTACTCTGTGCCAATGGTGCTTTCTATGAACTCAATATATGTCTCGCGACCAATATGGAGCACTGTGCGTGCGTGGGTAAAGTACATACGCTGCATGTGATTGTGCATCCCATATATCAATGCACACCTCGATGCGCAAACTGTGTAATTCTCTATGCTGCGTGCTTGTCATCACCACCTTTGAAAGACGACAGTAACATGAACAGCACACAACAAGTTCTTCGCCCACAGCGCCTGGAAGAACATGCCGATAATCGCCATCATGGCCAGACGTCCATTGGCAAGTTCCGCTGCAAGCTTGGTTTTCTTGGCCTCGGGGTCGGACGCGGTGAGCACCTTGAATCCGAAGTCGCCCGCCGCAGCAGGAGTTCCAGCCGACTGGTCCTGGGACACCTCGCAGAAGGCCATGTAAGCCAAGATCTGACCCCACCCAGCAGCAGGAACTTTGGAAATCGCAGCCAGGCCGTTGGGCACGTCGGCGAACTTCAGGCCAGCCGAAGGAGAAAGGTACCCAGGG